AGCCGTAGGTCCAGACTGGCTTAAGCGTTGAATTGTAGAGCAGGACCTTGAAGTCCAGGCAGAGGGGGGAGCGCGCGTTTAAAAGCCAATGGAGACTGTTTGATTTTAGTTTTAGGTGAATTTTCTTAGCTTCGATATGTCTCCGCCATGCAAGTCTCCTGTCTAGGTGGATGCCAAGGTACGTTACATCGTCAGCTTGTGGAAGTGTCGTGTTATTCAGGGTTAGCGGGGGACACGTTTGTCTGTTAAGAGTAAACGTTATGTGTTTACACTTTTGCGCACAAGAAGAGGGTGGAGTCGTTATTGCATTGTTGGCGACAGAGACCGTTGTAGTAGTCGTAGTAGTTTCTGTTGTTGTTGCGCTAGGCGGCAGAAGCTCTGTTGGAGTCTTGCATTGCTCACTCCATGGCGTTCGAGCGGTGAAGAGCAGGGCGGGAGAGCAAGAGTTAGCTCTCTGGTTTTCGGCGGTCAGTAAACTTGCACCTTCAAGCACTTTCGGTTCTAGAGTATTACTCGTCACCGTAAAATAGGCGTTGTTACGGGCCAAAGAGAGACGACGTTTGTCTTGTTCTCTCTGAATTTTTTCACGGGCTTCGTCTTGTCGTTTTTGTCGTTGAGTGCGCTGATCCACGTTCTTACTCATTTGTTTATAGTTAGTGCGTAAAGATTAATTATTTAATTAATTAAAACTTTAGTTTACGATATGCGATTTGCATCGCGAAACGCAAAACGTCGCGCTTATTTTTTTTTCGAACGTTTTCGACTGATTGGCTAATTGTTTTTCCGGAGCGTTAATAAAACACGTGTGCACGCAGCCGAATTGATGATAATAATAATGGCTGAAAGAGTTTCTTTAGGTCATCCGCAAAAGCTAGAGAAATCTCTGAGTCAGATCTGCACTATGTATCGTCAGCTTTTTTATGGGGATCTTTCGAAGAGGGTATCGTTTCTTATTTCGTGTACATTTCCAAAGGTTGAAGCCGTATGGTTTGGTGGAGCATTTTATCAAAATATTCGCGCTTGGTTTGGTACATAAGTTTTAAGATCATCTTCGGCACGACGATATGAACTTTTGTCGACTGGATCTTGAGATCTCATATATCTGCGACGTAGGGATCTTTTCAACCTAACCAGTTCGATTATCTCAGGTTATGAAACAGCCTGAGGTGGGTTGGAAGAGTTTGAGACTTGTCCTCAGGTTGAGGACTCGGCAGCGATATGAATATTCCGGGCAAACATCTCCACAGCGTCGTTGATGTCCTTAGGAGAGCTTAACACCATATTGAGGTTAACAAGTCGGTTAACTGTTGTATGGATAATGCGTAGGCTCTCCGGTTGGAAGGACCTGGACATTGGATCTTTGAACAAGGTCTGCGAGTGCTCTTCCGCGGGAGGTTGAGTTTCGAGACCCCCACAAACGGTGGTGAGCATTCCAGTCCCCTGCGATTATGAAATTTGATCCCAGATCGTCAAAGAGTTTTTCAAAGTCGTCAGCAGAACATAGAAAGTTTGGTGGACAATAGATAGACGCCATAGCTATCTCGCCAAGGTCGGTTTTGACTTTGACTGAGACACGTTGAACATTTGGACTTTGTAGATTATAGAACTGGTAACATTGTAGACAGGATTTTATTATAATTGCAGAGCCACCGCGTTTCCTATCGGCAGAATGAGTTGCTTAATAAATATCGTACCCGTGCAATTTGTAGAATGACCTTGAGCAAAAGTGTGTTTCACTAACCAGCATTATATCAATATTATGACTATACACAAAGAGCCTAAGGCCTTTGTTGGCAAGTACGTCGGCGTTCCACACACCAATGTTAAGGCCGATTCGACTCATGGTTGTGCTACATTAACTGGGAGAGATCCAGCTAATGAATGAGCTGTTCCTGGAGTATTTTGGGGTAACAGTTTTGTGACAAGTCCTATCATCGACACCATCATTTGGAATAACTTGTCGATCTGAGCAACAAGTACCGACTTCGGTGTTGTTGACGGAGAGACTGCTGCTGGTGATCTGGCTGTTGTTGTTGTTGAGTCGCCTTTTGTTGCTGTGATGGCTGCTGCTGCCGTCGAGGCGGTGTTTTTTGATGGTGTAGCTGACTATGCTTCCTGTTGTTGCTGCTCAGTGGGGGAAACTGTTGACTTTGTTGAAGAGTCATAGGAACTTGTTGGTGCTGGGAACTGCTAACTTGACCATGGAAAGCGTTAGCATAGGAGATTGGATTAGAATACCGTATGAGGAACTTGGACGTTTTTAATGTCTGTGTCCATGTCCGATAGTTCTGGGAATCGGTTGGCCGAAACATTCGTTTTTGGGGAATTGGAATTTCTCAGAATTTTAGTGATTGGTGATGCTGAATTCGATGATCTAGATTCAAGGCGGGGTTTGTTGTTAGCCGATCTTGGGGTCCACCAGTCCTCATCGTCGTCATTTATGGCTGCTAGTTCATTGTCTGTTGATGGTGTATTGTTGTGCGAGGGGGAAGTATATGGAAGTCTAGCTTGCTTTAGTACCTCTATCATTATACCCTTGCAGAGGGTATTATAATTTTGGTCAAAAGTGTGCCATAACTTTGGTGATGTTAGGATGTTGGGATTTTTTATGCACTCCACGAAAGCATGATCGAGACTGAACAGAACACAGGAATTTAAAAAATAATTAAAGTTTATAAAGCATTAAAAGCATCGGAAATATTGTTGCATGAGTAAAGATTGGACCAATTAATGCCACGGTACCCGTGATGGAGGTAGTAAGACATTCGATCCATCCTCTGTGGACCACGTAACTCCAGGTATATTCAAATCTCCTAGTACTACCTACTGATCCCTTTCGGAAAGCTTATTTGCAACAGACTTGATAACGGAAAGGGGATTTAAATAATCTCTAAGTTCACAAGACAGAGGAATATATGAGCAAGTTATGTATATAAAGTTACCAGGAATCGATAACTTTACGTAAATAATTTCTATAGTATTGAAGTCCTCGAAAAGTCCTCCTCGAGGCCCCCGGGCTATTAGCGGCAGGCCCCGACCACTTCGTGTGCCTTCGGGTTTTTTGCGCTCTCATTCTTATTCTCATTTTGATGCTCGTGCACTCATTGCACGAGTTCGGTCGTTTAGTCGCAGAGACGCGCATTTTGAAGAAGGTTGCGCCTGCGCTTGAATTGGTGTTTATATGTATGCGTGTTCATGCATTCCAATACAGGGGTGCATGTGTGCGTTTATTTCAATTCGATGCGACAAGAATATTTTGTCTTTAGCTACTTTTCATAATGTGTACCCTAACAATATGGGCGTATTCACTATTATGTTAATGATAAAAATAAGAATATTATATGTTATAATATATTTTGTAATATTCAGCATACATTTAATTTTGCTTTACAAATTCAAATCAGTGGTACCAGTAAAATGTTTTGCATAAATGCATGTATTCTAATTAATAGATAATAATCTACTGAGATAGGAACAGGGCATATCGCAGTCGGTGTCACTTAAAACACCGACTGCTCTTAAGTGGTTGAGATAACTTCAAACCAAATCAACTTTGGTTGTTGTTCTGCGAGCGGATGGTGCCTGCATACCCTACCGACGATTGAATTTTAGGTCGGACAGAAACAAGAACGGCAAAAAAAATAGCCTTCAAAAATATAGTGGAGCAATGAACTTTAAATTACCAAAAATAATCGGTAAATTAAAAAAAAAAACTACTTTTAAATTAAAATTGTATTGTTTTTTCTCCCTTGAGGGCTCTTTCCCAGCTGATTGACACTTGACCATAGCTCAATCATTTCTGAAGAACTTCCCAAAAATGCTGTCACACTAGAAAGATTAAAGTTTTCCGCAGGCGAACTCGTTTTTCGATTTAAGTACTAGACTATACTAGCTACATGCATCAACTACAACATACCTGATCGACGCAAATCGCAATAGACCAATTAGGTCTACACTATTTAAACTAATAACTCGTAGAGTAAAAGGCTATTTGTTGAACATGCCACACAAGGATGGACCTTGTTTTCGTATATTGTCAAATGAATTCTAAAGATCCAGAAAAAGGGGAAAGCGGGTGCCTACAGTGTACGTACAGTCTTGATGAGGATCAATAGCCGAGTCGATTAAGCCATTTCCGTCTGCCTGTCCCTATGAACGGCAAGATCTTGGAAACTACAATAGTTAAAGATTTGGGTTTTAGCATGATGATACTAGGTTTTCTTACGCAGCGAAAGAATTTTTTGTTGTTGCCATACCCACTTTAACGCCTACAAATCGAAAAACTCTTTTGAGAAGCCAGCTATTAGGCGGTATATGTTATAACAGGACTAAAAAAACGTTTTCGATTGCCTAACTAGATTTTCATTATCTAAAAATGTAGCAAAATCTACAAAAACTCAACTTTTATCTTCACTAGTTTCTTACGCTAAACCGGGCGGAGCCGAAGTTGATATACCCTTGAAGAATATTCTGTAAATTACAAACACCAAAGTTATGGCATGTCCGATCAATCAGTTGTATGGTAGCTATAGGATATAGTCGGCCGATCCCGGCCGTTCCGACATATATACTGCGTGCAAAGGAAGAGTGCAGAGTTTCAATTCGATATCTTTAAAACTAAGAGACTAGTTTGCGTAGAAACAGACAGACGGACATGCTTTTATCAACTCAGAAGGCGATGCTGATCAAGAATATATATACTTTATAGGGTCGGAGATGTCTCCTTCACTGCGTTGCACACTTTTGACCAAAATTATAATACCCTCTGCAAAAGTATAAAAAGACATACATAACTCGATAACGGCATAACACAAAGCAGTACAACCGAAAATTGTAAGTCAATCTATAAAACTTTTAATACATCAAGTTAAATGTGCAGAATTCTTAAGAATATGGATGTCCCAAATGATATCTATGTAAAACACGTAATAAACAATTAATTTTCAATCAATGCCAATTATTATGACAATTTAGTTATTAGAATATTCAATATATTCCGTTTTTATTGTGATATAATTAGTAATACTTTTTGTCGACAACACAAATTTATTTCGTCAAATTGTTTCGTACCTAGTTATTTTTGCAAGCTATATATTTGCATTATAATTACTTTAGTTATAATGGTAATGTAAATCGTAATTTTGAACACAAGATTGTATTATCCTTCTAAAATGGTAGCAACTAGTGGAACGTTAAAAACAAAGACTTAGCATTCGACCGACGTCACTGGCACTATGCAGTATGCATATTTCGGTTAACTTGTTTAGTTTGACTGCTTGTTAGCTTTGTTTAAGTTTCAACTTTGAGTATGAGCGATACAATTTATTTCGGTTTTTAAACGTTTTTTTAAAGTACAATTTATGAATTAGTGACACTTACTTAATTAGTGTTTCCAACTGCACCGAAAAATCAAGCTTTTATCTCAGGAGACAATGATCGATTTAATTTTGTAAACCAGTGTTATAAGTGATTAATGATCGGTTATAGTTTATAGTAACAAATGTAAGCGCATTTTTCACTCTAGTAGCTATTTTCTTTATGTGTAAGTGTATAAGTATAGAAAAAAAATCATATTTGTATTTGTAAATGCAAATCTGTAAAGTTGCCACACACTAATTAATGATCCGATGTCATGCGTTTTGTCAAAGCCTGAACACGTTGGGCATTGCAGCTCTTACACAAAACGTGATCATCTAGGGGATAACATCCGCGCCCTTCAGCTTCAGATGACAGCAAGAGCCCACAGTCCTATTATATTAAAATTTTAGAATCTAGAAATTAATTCGCTTTTTGTTTGAAAAAAAAGTTTAGTTTACCTCGCACTTATAGCATTCTAGGTGAAAACTACGATCTAAGGCCACTACTCTGACAGTTTCTTCTTGTCCTGGATCTGGCATAATAGGTTGTTTGCAGACACAACATCGGGGAGCAAATTTTCTTTCAATTACAATAAATTAGTCATAAGGTCATTACAATAAATTAAAAGACTTACTTATGAAAATCTATAATACAATAGTTTTGATTAGTGGCATCAACTGTAAATAATAATCCATCTAAGCTTTTACCACATACAACACAAGTAAAGCATTGCGGATGGTATGGCTTTCCGGTGGCTCTGAGAATTCTCTCCAAAATGGGTTTCATGCAAACAGAACATTTTTCCAGTGTTTGTAAATAATCATATTCACAATATGGTTTGCCGTCTAATGCATAAAATGGCTTTCCCTGCAAGTTAATTTGGCAGTCTGTACATGTAAAGCAAGATATATGGTATATTTGATCCATTGCTGTACATCCACTACTCTCTCCTAGTACACGTGAATTGCATTTGACACACCTTCCTATAAGTAAAAAATAATATATTTATTGTTTTGATGTTTGGGTATACTCGAACTTACCATAGTTTTCAAATTCTTGCATTGCATCAGTAGCTATTGAAACATTATTACTATTATTACCCTCCCCATTATTCTTATACGTAGTTTTCTCTATGTAACATTTAGATCTACCATTACCATGCGCGTATAACGACTGGTCCCCTTCAACCGAGTTCGCATTATTTAGTCCGCATGAACTACTTGGGATGTTATTATCATTAATGTATGAACCATACAGATTACAACTTTCCCGAGGCAACATATCTCCGGCAGGACGAGGGTTTATAGGCTCATATATCGAATCATAAGTAGAAGAGCTCTGTAATAATTCATAAAAAAAAAATTTTAATGTTGCTTACAGTAATATTGAACTATTTTTTACGGTTTTCAAAATGTTTTTTTCGTAGGAGTCATTATATATATATCTAGTACCTGTGATAGCCCACCGTAGCAATAATAGTTTGGATTAGATTTGGTCTGTAGGTTCTGAAATGAACATTAAAAAAGATTTACGGTTGAGATATTTAGTAAATAAACGAAAAGCTAAAAAGTTTTAATTGTAGGTATAAAAAAAATAATAATTTCCTGGTGTTTGCGTTTATCAAAAACTGTTTTGGCTCCACCGTCGCATTTATTCGACGAGCTTGTTTGGGATGAACCAGCACTGTGGGTGGCAAAATGTATAGGAAAAAATATGAATAGTCATCCGCTCACACGATGCTTCTGAGAACTCTCTAAAAATAATGTTTGGAGTCGTTGGTTGTGTCAAAGGTAATTCTTGTTCTAAATACAAATTCAGCAGTGGATGGCTTGCTTAATACTCAAGTTTACGGTCCTAACGCCCAATATTCGTGAAAAAATGATCTCTGATGGGCTAATTACTTAAGAATTTACATTTATAAAAAACGTCCTGCTAAAAAGTTATGTTTTGGTACGGTCATGTATATTCCTGACAATCGAGGAACGGCTGAACCAGCTTCTGACTCTGTTCCGCTCATTGAACCTGCGTTACTTGTTAAATAAATATAGATTTTATATAAATTATGTAATGTCCACTGGATAAGTGCATGTCAGCCCGTCAGTTGGTGAACAACGTGATTTAGATTTTCTCTTTTTTTTCATTAGCTTAAGTATTCTCCATGAAAGCCTTTATATACATTTTGATGATTTTCTATATATTTCGCTATAATCTGTAAAGATTGACTTTTAGCCTCGGCACTTAGTGGTCGCCCTGATTCATCTGAGTATCTTGGTATACTTCAAATTTTCTACTTCAGAATCTAATCTTTTTCTAATCAGAATATATATTCTTGAGCACCAGCTGTCCAGGATATTTTATTAGCGGGTATGGTGCCTGGCTGCTATGCTAGACAGTGACTGACTGCTATTCTAGACAATTACTATAAATAATACTTCTACTACTATCAAGTTGCATACAAAAATATGCAAATATTCGAAAATATAAAAATTACTTCGTTGTATTTGTTTTTAACGATTTAAAAAATACTTTTCAAATTCCATAAAAATTCTCTTTTATAAAGCTGCCAAAGGCTAGAACGAAAAGTTTTTGAAAAATCGACCTAACTTAATTGTCTATAAACATATATGTATAAAATCGAAATATAGTCCTTTTACTAAATATTACCGTATGGAAAGCAATCCATATTTTTGGTAGCTAGAACTCAAGGGATGGGCTGAATATGGTATAAAACCATAGAGTATGGTCAATTAGTTTCAATATAATTTAACGAAATTGTTGCCAAATGATAAAAAAAAAGATAATTTAAGGGAAAATTACTTTTAAAAAAATTACTAAAAAGTGTAGAATATTTTTATCATGATCAGCTTACTAATTTGTTGTATGCTCACAATACTAAAAAACTACTTATATTAATTAAAACTAAAATATTTTCAACAAAACAATAAAAGTGTAATAATTTTGACGAGATTTATTTATGAAAACATTAAAAAGATTGCGTTAAAATATTAAAAGGCGATTGATTAAAAGCCAAACACTTGAACTATTGACTTTGGCATTAAATCAATAATATTTACACTTAATCTAGTTTACCAACTTTTGAACAAAATTATAATAGTCTGAAAGGAATTCAAAAGTAAACAAAATTGTTTATATGTTAAATTTTGAACAAATTTTAAGGCAGTTTAAAACACAATTTTAGCTTATCGTGATATGTCGTAATATTGTTTTCTTATATGTATGTTAACATAATGTAAAAATAACAAGTTTTTGAAGAGATAAGCAAGATGATATATTCAAGATTTGGTATACCTTATTTATGGCACCATGTTGCAGAGCAGATTGGTTGGCATATATTTGTAATGAAGTAGTTGATTTCTGGACATTTTGTAAAGAATCCATGGGCTTGTTAAAGACGGTAGAGGCTCGCCGAAGCTCGCTATATGAAGAGCTCACAGCGCTCTCAGGGCTTGGAGGAGGCGGCACATCATCCTCTATATCGTTGTCTAATAATAAGTTTGTGCAAACGGAGAGCATTTTATGAGACGAACCCGAGGAAGGCCCCATAGCTTTGGATCCTATATAATTTGTTTTATAAATTTAATATAACATTTTATTTTAACATAAATAAAAATGCACATACCAACTTCGTGAACATTTGAATAGGTATTAGCTGACATGCCTGCAGCATCCATTAAATGATCCGAGTTTTCTGTATTAGGTGCAGAATTTATATTACTATATATCAAACTTTTGCTCAATGTGTTGGATGGAAGCTCTCTGAAGACTTTGGCACATTGTGTTCGCTGGATTTGTACTCCCAAAAGACCTTTTTTTTCCATTTGGAGTTTGTGGTAAGCCAGGGCTTCCAGTTGCTGTTCCAGTATTGCCGGGTTGTCCAGTGTCGTTTTTGAATTAATTTTAATTTCATCATGTCCGAAGTCAGAGCTGGAGTGTTTTCTAAAAGGCATGGGCCCGCCGCTTAATATTTTATCCATTCCAATAAGAGGTTGAGAATAAAGCGGCTCCCGCGAACAAAAAACTTGCTTACTAGATGGAACCTGAAATAAATAAATAAGTCTTAAGCCAATAATATTTTAAGATGGTAGAGTCTTTCGGCTTGTATCCTTCATTCCTTAAGAAATACTAGAGTGTCAAAAAGTCGGTAAGTTTTAAAAACCGTATGATACCTTTGCATTTCCATCTCAACAAAGTATATATATTCTTAAATAAAATAAATAGTCAAATCGATTTGTCAATTCTTTATTGTTTGTGAATCGTGATTGCTGGAACTGCGACAATATGACTTAGAGATCGCGTATAGAAAGGGCCAGCTGGCTACTGGCCATCTGGCCATTGCCAGAAACATGTCGACGAATAAAGGACAAAGTACAAGAACAGCAGAAGGAAACAGCAGGCCCCAGGACAGCCTAATAGCAAAATGGAAACTATGATGTTAACCCTGCAACTAAGCATGATGGAACTAATGTCATTCATGAAAACGACTATGCAAGCACTTGTTCAAAACCAGAACATGGTGATACTGTTAAGTCTTAGCCTAACAGACTAAATAATTAATGCATAATCTAAAAATGTCTATGTGGGACGATATTGGTGTCTCAAGGCATAAACTTGAATTAACATAATTCCTGCACGAAAATCATATAAACGTTATGCTCCTGGTAGAAACGCACCTCAAAAGCAAATACAACTTTAAAATAAGAGGTTAAACATTTTACCGCACAGATTATCCGGATTGAAAAGCGCATGTCGAAACTGGAGTCTTAATTTGAGAACGCATCAAACACCACCTTCACCAAAGCTATTCAACAAACTACTTGCAGGCCACATCTATGAATCAAGTAACGGAAACCTTTTAATTGCTGCCCTCTATTGCCCGCCTCGCTTTACAATCTTGGAAGGACAATTCATGGATTTCTACAACTCTATAACAACAACTATAATGCCAAAAATACGCCCTGGGGATCACAGTAGACTTATTGGGCCTACCCTATTTGTCCTATATACTGCCGAGATCCCTACGCACGAGATACTACCAACGTCCACGTTTGCCAACGATACTACGATCCTGAGCCGCTCGACAAGCCCAACATCCAGCTATGGTACGATCGAATACAGCAGTGCGTTCTTACTCGAACATAGTCGGCGGATCTCTCCAATTCATGAACCATTAGGTCAGTCAACTCCACCAGCAGCAACATTTGGAAGTAGGAAATCCAAAACAACAAAGCACGCAAATGGAACCACACCGAAAGAAGCAGCAGCCATCAGGAGGTAACACATCCCAGCCGACAAAATCATCAACAACCTCAACAACAGCAGCAGCTACTTCATCAACATCAGCTATCCCAGCATCAACAACTGTGAAATTTCCAAAGCGACCATCAATGGAAGCAACAAGAACAGATTTTCCTGCGATCCAATGAAAAGCTGTCGGCCCTTGTAGCTCAATTTGACAAGATGTTCCAGATGATGATGTCTATGATGAACCTTATTACTGGACTTATACCCGAAATGGCACCAGGAACTACGAAAGCAGCCTCTGGGCATATGGGGGTTTATCCAGCCCATCCACATGTTAAATTGGACTCAAAGTCGGTGTCTGGGTCGCCGAAAGCCTGACCAACAACCCTGCAGTACCGTTCATCACCTTTTAATCGCTTTTTCATCACCAAAAATTCATCACTGCTGATTAATCGGCGATGAAACTTCATACAAATTAGTGATGAATTTAACATTGGCATGTCCTAGGAGTTAATCAGTGAAAAATTCATCACTCTTTAATCAGTAATTCATCACTCTTTTTTCAGTTTTTCATCACTCTTTAATCAGTAATTCATCACTCTTTGAACAGCGTTTACTGATGAACATGCGATGAACGAGTGATTAAAATGCGATGAAATAGTGATTAACGAGTGATGAATTACTGATTAAAGAGTGATGAATTCATCACATTTTCATCAGTAATTCATCACTCTTTAATCAGTAATTCATCGCTTTTTCATCTCATTTTCATCGCTTTTTCATCGCTTTTTTTTCATCAGTAAAATTCATTCAGTAAATTTTCATATAAATTTAATTTTTTATTTTATTACAATATTTCATTATTATTTCATTTATTTCATTACATATAACTAATTAATTTAACTTAATTCAATCTACATATGTACGTTTTCAGTTGTCCCGGAGGTGTTGAGGATGTTTCGGTTTCCGTGCCCTTTTTTTGACTTCGTGCTTTATGTACTGGCTCTTCCTGACCAAGTATATCTGAAATAGAAAAATTATTAAAAAAATAAAAACTTACTGCGTTTTTTGTTTTGCCGCCGGCCAAGTCCAGCTTAGTTTATGCTGGCCCAACAGATTTATTATAAGCTTCGCCTTAAATAATGAATAAATATATTAACAGTATATGTAGGTACAGTTCAAAATAATTAATAAAATAACACTTACATAAATTTCTGATAAATTTAGTTATAAAATTTCACAAAAAATCTCTGCTTCGATCTGTTTTCTCCGTTCTCTCAAATGCAAGTGCACGTAAAAACCGCGAAAACAACTTCAGTTGAAAACAAGGGCGCTGTTAATCCTATTGTTCTTTCCTCTGCCTAATTTGTCTTTACATGTTTCGCTTCGCGTCAAAGCAGGGTATATAAAAGCATGTCCGACTATGCAAAATAATCACATAACTTAAATTCACTTAAAAAAGGAATCCATACCTTTCAAAACTATCATAATAATTTTATTTTTAAAAAGTATTTGCATAAAATAATATAATTAATAAGAATCAACAACTACAATACAAAAACAAGAAAGGAAAGCTAACTTCGGGCGGAGCCGAAGTTGATATACCCTTGCAGAATACTCTGTATATTATATTCTCCAAAATTATTCATATGATGCATTCTTAATACTTATAAAATATCCCAACTTCATAACTTTAAGAAAACCAAAGTTATGGCATTTCCGATCGTTCAGTTATATGGCAGCTATAGGATATAGTCGGCCGATCCTTATGAAATTTGATAGGTCGGATTAATTGGCCAAAAATAAAAGCCATATAAAATCCCAACTTCCTAACTTAACAAACACCAAAGTTATGGCATTTCCGATCAATCAGTTATATGGCAGCTATAGGATATAGTCGGCCGATCCTTATGAAATTTGGTGGGTCGGATTGATTGGCCAAATATAAAACCCATAGGAAATTCCAGCTTCCTAACTTTACAAACACCAAAGTTATGGCATATCCGATCAATCAGTTATATGGCAGCTATAGGATATAGTCGGCCGATCCTTATGATATTTGGTAGGTCTGACTGATTGGCCAAATATAAAAGCCATAGAAAATCCTAGCTTCCTAACTTTACAAACACTAAAATTATGGCATTTCCGATCAATCAGTTATATGGCAGCTATAGGATATAGTCGGCCGATCCCGGCCGTTCTGACATATATACTGCGTGCAAAGGAAAGAAGGGTGTGTGCAAAGTTTGAACTCGATAGCTTTAAAACTGAGAGACTAGTTTGCGTAGAAACAGACAGACGGACAGACAGACGGACAGACGGACAGACGGACAGACGGACATGGCTATATCAACTCAGGAGGTGATCCTGATCAAGAATATATATACTTTATAGGGTCGGAGATGTCTCCTTCACTGCGTTGCACACTTTTGACCAAAATTATAATACTCTCTGCTAGGGTATAAAAATGAATCGACGACAGATTCTAAATGGAAAATAATATTATATAGTCCGCCGATTCTTATGAAATTTGGTAGGTCGGATTGATTGGCCAAATATAACACCCACAGAAAATCCCAACTTCCTAACTTTACAAACACCAAAGTTATGGCATTTCCGATCTATCAGTTATATGGCAGCTATAGGATATAGTCGGCCGATCCCGGCCGTTCCGACATATATACTGCGTGCAAAGGAAAGAAGGGTGTGAGCAAAGTTTCAATACGATAGCTTTAAAACTGAGAGACTAGTTTGCGTAGAAACAGACAGACGGACAGACGGACATGGCTATATCAACTCAGGAGGTGATCCTGATCAAGAATATATATACTTTATAGGGTCGGAGATGTCTCCTTCACTGCGTTGCACACTTTTGACCAAAATTATAATACATTTATATACCCCTGCAGAGGGTATTATAATTTCAGTCAAAAGTTTGCAACGCAGTGAAGGAGACATTTCCGACCCTATAAAGTATATATATTCTTGATCAGCATCACCAGGAGAGTCGATCAAGCCATGTCCGTCTGTCCGTTTCTACGCAAACTAGTCACTCAGTTTTAAAGCTATCTGCTTAAAATTTTCCCAAAAGTTGTCTTTCTATTGCAGGTAGTATATAAGTCGGAACGAGCCGGATCGGGCGACTATATCATATAGCTGCCATATAACTTAACGATTGGAAATGCCATAACTTTGGTGTTTTTAAAGTTAGGAAGTTGGGATTTTTTATTGGTTTTATTTTTGGCCAACCAATATAATTTAATTTCGGCTCCGCCCGAAGTTAGCTTTCCTTTCTTGTTGTTAATTTATTTTAACACGCCAATCAGATAGCCACCTCTTAGCTGCGATGAGGTGATTAGCTGGTTGTGTTGTTGCTCGGCTTGGGCTCCTCGAGCGACTTAGGATTGCGGCTCGTTTGTAGGAATATACGCTGTATATATAACAGAGTAGGCCCAAGTGCGCTTCCTGGCAGGACTCCAACTTAGATAATGTAGTCGTCAGATGTTGTTGTTTTGCACCTTACTGCAAAGACTCTGTTATACAGATACGACTCAAATAGTTTATGAGTGTATGTAGGCAAGTGTGTTTTGATCTTATGCATGAGGCCATTGAGCCAGACTCGATCAAAAGCTTGAGATACATCGAGGAATATTGCGCTGCAATATTCTGGTTGAGTGTCAGCTTGGAGGGCAAATCTGTTGTTATTGGATCTCCCGGGTAATTCGTTGTCTCTTTGGATTCGGTTTATTTTTGGCTTATTACCCACCGCGGTGTTCTGCGGGCTAAGCTTAAGCTT